TGAACAAGCATGCTTTCTGTTCTGGATTTTTCAAGAAAGGTTAAATGTACATTCCTTTAAAAAAAAAAAACTGCTTACATCAGGGAAAATGTACATATCTTTTTTTTTTTTTCTTTTGAGACAGAGTCTCAAGCTGTCTCCCTGGGTAGAGTGCTGTGACATCACAGCTCACCAGAAACCTCCAACTCCTGGGTGCAAGTGATTCTCCTGCCTCAGCCTCCCAAGTAGCCCAGCTCCTACCACAATGCCCAGCTATTTTTTGGTTGCAGCCATCATTGTTGTTTGGCGGGCCTGGGCTGGATTCGAATCCGCCAGCTCAGGTGTATGTGGCTGGCGCCTTAGCTGCTCAAGCCACAGGCGCCAAGCCAGAAAATGTACACATCTTTAAAAACAAAAACAAACCTAAACCCCATATTTGACTGGTAACTTCCAGGTAAGGCATGATCCCCAGGAGAGCGTGATTTAGAAGAATCAGGAAGACGTTCAAATAGAGTGAGACAGCAAAAGATGTAATTGTCTGACCTGGTGGAAACCAGGTCAAACCCAGCTTTTTCCTGCCGGCCTGACGCAGCAGCTGGAGCCCCTGACATACGATTTCGGGCCATCCCCCTTGCTTCGACCTTTAAATCAGGGATTTTGTTCCAGGCATTTTCTTCTTCCTTGGTCCAATGCAAGGCACGCATCCTATCTAGCTACGCCTCACTTCCCAACGGCTAAAAACTGAGTAAGGTCTATGGTTCATCCTATAAGGGCACATGTGAATCTCTCTAAATGTAGAATATAAATGTCTTAACACAATAACTAAGAAAAAGATATGAAAGCTATGTTAACCAGTTGGATGAAAGTATTTCAAATTGTATACAGAAACAATACACTGTACCCCATGATAGTATTAATGTACACTGCTTTGATTTAATAAAAAATAAAATTTAAAAAAAAAAGGTCGAAGAAACATACATTCAGAAGCCAGCAATTTAAAATGACACATTTGGGCTACTAATCTTTGGCTTTTAGCCTCTGACATATAAAGGGACTGTAACTGTCAGAGTGGCCTATGACGCCGCCCCTGAGTGATGCTTGATCATAGTTCTCACTGCTCTGTGATTGCCTTAAAAGCAAAGAGCTGGGGGCTGCTCCACAAGTAACCCCTGGAATCACATCTCATGCCTGCTTCAGGGAACTAAGCACTGCCCTAAAATAGACTCAGCCACATGTTCACCAAGGGGACAGACTGCCCACAAAGGAGGGGAGAACACAGCCTTTGCAATCTCAAAAACTTGCCTCCTGTGTCCAGATAACTGTTTCCTGAAGCTTTAGAATTTGGGGTTTCCATAATTTGACTGAGCAGACTCCGTGTCCTTTCTGTGCTCCCATATTGATATCATCCATTCCTAATATTAGCAGCAAGAGCAGTTTGGGTTCACCTAAGAAAGAGGAGCTTTTATTTTGAGTTGAACAGGAGCAGACACTAAAAATGAACGTGGTGTGACTTCCTTCTGGTGTATCTGACACACATAGAATAGGTACACCGGTGCAGGGAAGCAACTTTGAGTCAAGTGGGAAAGGAATTCAACCGAATCGGAAATTTGATGTGCTTACAGAATTCGTATGCAGTCTCACTCGTGTGAACACTGAGGAATTAAGAACTAAAATGAAATTGTATGAAGTTGTTCCTTTGCGCAGTGTTGGATAAGATCACGGGGTATTTATGAAAATTGCATGGAGGTGAGATGAAGGTTCCCGTGTGTGTTACAGCCCAGCGTGATTGGTAAACTTGGTCATTATTCACCACAGACAAGCTACGGAATGATACATTAGAGCAAAGGTGTCAAATATTTGGGCTCCTATTACACAGCAGAGCTTAAATGGAGCAGAGAAGCTGGGCGATTCCTGCCTCTCCACTTAGTATGGCGCAGTCAAGGACAAAGGCAGGAGGAGGCAGGTGTGCAATTCAGAATAACCAGTGTTGAGGTTCTGCGCTTAGACGGGGAGGTGCCTGCTCCTCCTTCTCACCTTCTCTGTCTGCAAAGCGAGTGGCACCATCCTGAGTTGAGAGTGGGTTCCGTGGTCCAAGTCCCCCAAAGAGACGAAGTAAGGGGCCTGCACGCACAGACCCAGGTAGCTGTCATGTACCGAAAATGCCTCTCACTTTATCAATGACCACCTGAATGTGCTAATTACTCCCTCTGGTGAGGGTGAAGATATTTACAGAAAGAACAGAAGGAATTAAAGAGTCAAGGAAACAAAAACACCCAAGTCTCAAGGTGGGGACGTGTTAGCCACTCCGTCAATATTTGTCTGTGTTGGAGCTTTTCCTACATTTTAAAATCCGCTAAGCCTTTCATTCCAGAAAAGCTGGGTTGGTGTTTAATCAGCAGCGGCAAGAAAATGGGCCATATTTAGTACTTGCCGCTCTGCAGTTTGTTTTTGCTGACAATTCTCAGGTTTGGTCTTCCAAACCAGGAACAATGATCATCTTCTTCTTCGGCTGCTGTCATAAGGGAGACAGAGCAGGTTCCCCCCCGCCCCAGGTGCCGAGGAGTTGCTCAGTACATGCCCAGGCGTAACCCTGCCTTATTTGTGTCTGTCAGGAGAACCCCTGGACTGTAACCCCTTAGCCTCAGAAAGAGCTCACTCGGCTCAGTGTTCAGCCATCAGCTGCTCCACCCTGGTGTTTTCAAAAATCACTGAAAAATGGTAAAATTACATGAAAACCCCAAGACGCCTGCAAAGTTGGGAAAAAGAAGCCTGAGGTAACCCACACCCCATGTGCTGCCAAAGATCTCCATGACAGCACATACCCCGTAGTGCCCTAATGAGCTGCCTGCTTCTCTGTAACCTCAGTCAACTCCAGGCTCTTTCAGGGTCTAGCCCAGCTCCTCTCTGTATTCCCATGACCTGTTCTTATCTGGAAGGTGGCTACCATTCAATAAATATTTACTGAGTCATCCATGCTGAATGTCTCGACTTAGAAGACAGAATTATTCACTGTTTTTGTTTGTTTTCTTTTGAATTGGCTTTAGGCTTTTTTTTTTTTTAATTCTCTTTCCAACATAGACTTTGCTACAGATTTCTATCCTTTAAAATAAGTAGACGTTTAGACGACAAAGAAAGGCCTTCTGGTTGCACATCTGTGGCGTTTTGAGCCACAGTTAAAAGAAAAATGTCTTATGAAAATTATTTTCACCGGAGACAGCCACTGATTTTTCCCCTACTTAGGAATTCAAAATATTTTTCACACACACCTTCATGCAATCATTTTCTTCCAGTAGGGCATATCCAGAGGGATCTGGAAAAATGCACCTGCGAGGGGGTGCACAGAGAGGTGAGCACCAGGAAGGCTCCAGGAATCAGCATGCCTGGTTTGCTCACTGTGCAACACTTGGGCCTACGAGCCATGTTCTGGCTCTCCAGCAGTGAAGCTAGCAAGTGACACAGGCATCAGCATCCCATCTTATTAATGAGGAAATTGCATCAAGAAAAAAAGGAGCGATTTCCCCAAGGTCACCCAACGGGATGTGACAGTTTGTCAGAAACCCGGACTTTCAGTTCTTTGCGTCGTGATGCCTTTTTGATTATCCTGCGAAACTAAATGGGTTGCTTAGGCGGCATTTTATAGACAACAGCTAAAGCAGAAGAAAGAAATACGATGCAAAAATTAGAGTAGAAACTGCTAACTCTAAAGAAGCTGAAACAGGCGATGAACTGAGGCAGAACCTGGGGAAGTTGAGCTGTGAAGAGTTTTATTTGAATTATTTCATTTGGGGTGAAAATGAGGGAGGGAAATTGTATTTTTATGAGAGTGTCTCATCGGAGAAGAAGGGATGCACTTTTCTGCAATGTTATAATTATTCCAGCTCCGCCTCCTCACTTTGGACCCCTACGCCAATGCTACGAAAGGAATCCTTTCGCTGAGCATTTCGTTTCTTCTCTGACAGCTGCTAGTCAGAAGACAGAAAAATGGGTTGAGTCCAGATCCACAGTGGATTAGAGGCAAATGGGTACTAGAGCTCCTAGCTTTATTCCTATTTAGAAAGCAAAAATATATTTTTTTCTTGATAAACTTTTAGGGATGACATCAGAGAATGTCGACCACAAAAAGAAGAATCATTTTAAAAGGACAATTTGACCTTCCTATGGTAGCTTTTTATAAAAAAAATACATATATAGGCCAGGTATGGTGGCTCATGCCTATAGTCCTAGCTGAGGAGGGTGGATTGCTTGAGCTCAGGAGTTTGATACCAGCCGGAGAAAAGCGAGACCCCATCTCTACTAAAAATAGAAAAAACTAGCCAGGCATTGTGGCGGGCACCTGTAGTCGCAGCTACTTGGGAAGCTGAGGCAAGAGGATTGCTCAAGCCCAAGAGTCTGAGGTTGCTGTGAGCTATGACACCAGGGCACCCTACCCAGGGCCACAGAGTGAGACAGCCTCAAAAAAAAAAAAATTAAAATTAAAAAAATAATATATAGATAAAATATATTTAAGATAACCTAAAAGATAATTTTTTGTTTATTCTTTTAATAATCTCCATCCCTTAGAAGAAATATTCTGTTTTAGAAATCAGTTTCTTAGTCAGCAGGTCAAAAATATTTTTTAAGGGTCTACTGTGAGTTGGACTCAGTTGATGAATAATAAATGAATGATTGATGAATAAGATAAAGTTCCTTGCTCTCAAGGAACCCACATTCTAGAAGGAGAGAGAAAGCCAGTAAGTGTGTAAACAAATATGTCATAAAGAAGACAGTTTGGGATTGAAAAGCTGTGTTTGGTGGGGGATGTCGTGTACTGTGCTGAGCCGGGGCAGATTTGAGCGTCCTAGGACCCCACTGCCCATGGGAGGGAGACTGTTCCCACATTCCCAAGCCTGGGCCACAGCTGTGCTACTCCATGACCCTGAGAAGCATAATATCAAACGCAGTACCATGAATAACACACAGTCACACGTGTGGAGTTCCACCAGAGGATAGGATGACCATATGTTGCTTTCTTTTTATTCTAGGAATCTTGGAAAATCAGGACTCAGAGTTTCTTGCTTGGGTCTTGGTAAGTACTCTGGTATTACCAGGGGTGGGGCTGGAAGGTGGGAAGCTGGGGGGCACCAGGGAGGGATGGTGTGCAAATCAGGTTCCAGTCTTAGGGGTGGGGGAGAATATCTGGCCAGTCTTGCCTTTCCCTGCCTGGCACAGCCCTCTCCCCTTAGCGGCAGGGCTCACACGCCCCACCGGTCAGCGAGTACAAAGGTCCACATGTGCGTTTATAGGCTCAGCTCACCCCTCCTTCCGTTCACCAGGATTTTCTCTGCCTATCCTTATTTCCCCTTTGCCTCATTTATTTTTCAATATTGTTATACATTTTATGTACTTTTAGGATCTGACTTAAATACTTGGCAAAGTGAAATACACACATACCATATATACATATGTAATTAATAGGTAAAAATTGTTATTCCTTTCAGAAATGTAAGCTTTTAAAGAAAACTAAGTAGAGATGCCAATTCTAACAGCAAAGAGATGAATCTGAAATGGTGAAACCTAGTTTCATGACTTGGGGTGTGGGCATGAGGCTTCCAGACACGGGAAAGGCAGCCTTGGCACTGTCTAACCTCATCAGGACTGGTCCTGTGACCCGAGCTGGTCCCGGGATGGTGACAGAGGAAGCAGTGAGAAATGGCCAGAGTATGGTTATGTGTTGAAGACAGAAGCTTGAAGATTTTTGGGGGGGGTTCCATGTGGGATATGAGAAAAAAGGGAAGAGTCCAAGATGGCTCTAAGGCAGTGGTTCTCAACCTGTGGGTCGACCCTTTCACAGGGGTCACCTAAATACATCCTGCATATCAGATATTTACCTTATGATTCATAACAGTAGCAAAATTAAAGTAACAATGAAAATAATTTTATGGTTGGGGGTCACCACAGCATGAGGAACTGTATTAAAGTGTTGTGGCATTAGGAAGGTTAAGAACCACTGCTCTAAGGTTTTTTGTTTCTTTGTTTGTTTGGTTGGTTGGTTGGTTGGTTTTTGCCTGTGCTACAGAAAGAACGGAGTTCCTAGTCAATGAGACGTGGAAGAATGAGGCAGAAGAGTCTTAGGGAATATTCTTCCCTAGGGGATTAGGAAATTGATTTGGACGTATCAAATTTGAGATACCTATTAGGCATCCAAGGAAGGTTATCAAATAGGCAAATGAATCTCGAGTTTAGAAGTCTGGGCTGGGTGCATAAACTTGAGAAGCCTTAGCAGACAGGTGTTGTTCAAGCCAGGGTTCTGGATGAGAACACTAGGGGCACAAGTATAGATAGCACAGAAAGAGAGGCATGTGGTCCGTGACCTAGGAAATCCAATGTTTAGAAACTGGGAAGCTGAGGAAGAACCAGCAAATAAAGGCAAGTAGCCAGTGCCGCAGAAAGAGAGCAGGAGAGAAGGGAGTCCTGGGATCCAGGCAAAGAAAACATTTTAAGGAGGATGGAGTGACTGGTCCTGTCAAGTGCTGCTCATGCCCTGGGCAAGATGAGGGCCAGCAGCTGATCATCAGGGTTAGCAATGGAGTTCGTTGATGACTTTGAAAACATCGGGTTTTGAGGAGTAGTCGGGGCCAAAGCATAATTGGGACAGGCTGAAGGTAATTGGAAGGAGGCAAGCTGGAGGCTACTCTTTGATGACAACTGCTGTAAAAAGTCAGCAGAGAAACAGAGTGGGACTGACAAACAAGTGAGGCCAGAGAGGCGGCTTTAGCACATGGGAGAAATGACACCACATTTAAGTACTGACGAGGAAATCCTTTAGAAAAGAAAAAATGATGCAGGAGAAGGAGCGAGCAGAATGTCTGAGACGCCTTTGTAAGAACACAGAGGCACAAGAGCAGAGGAGAGAAAGACAGCCCACGAGCTTTGAGGTTGGTGGGGGGGGCATTGGGTGGCAGTGGTGGAGGTGTCTTGTCAAAGTTCTATTCCTTTTATGCCCTCCAGGGAAATCAGAAGCAAGATCATCAGCTGTTAATGAGGATGGGAAGGAAGTTTGAGGACATAGAGGATGTACAGGGGAGCGGGAGAGTGAGCCGCCAGGGGTAGACATCCTGCTGCTGGCCAGACAGAACCTGCTTAAGACAGGCGCTCATAAATTGAAGCAAGATCATCGCCATGGTCGAGCGTTCCTCTTTCAGCCACATTCAGCTGTGCAGGTCCGTGGGGTTTTCTTCTAAGATGAGAAGGAGAGGGCAAGAAAGCTGAGGGTTTATGTAAGGCAGTTATTATGGTGGTAGACCTTGGCATTTAAATCAAGGGGAGGACAATGAGGACTAGAGCCAGGAAAGTGAACCAAGAGCTAAAATGGAAAAGTTGAGGGACAGTGAAAAGCAGGTGGGTCCAGAGGGACCAAGGAATTGTCAAAATAAGAACATTAGAGACAGTGGTTGAGAGGTTCGAAAGTGATGGTCGGAAAGGGAATGTTGACACTGAAGTTACGAGAGGGTTTGTTTACTGGTAGTGACAAAATCTAAGGTGTGTCCATTGGGAGAGAATGGCTGAGGTTTTATTGACCATGAGATCAGCGGGGAAGAGGAAGTTGAGAAACTGAAAGATAAAGTACAGGGAATGGTCCTTGGGATCACTGGGGTCACTAAAAGCATGGCAAGATTCACGCTGCGGCGGGAGACAGTGAGACGGGAGCTCATGTTTTCATAGCATGAGAGGGCGTGACGAGGGCTGGGTGAGTGACCACATCCAAGCCTGAGGGGGTGAGAGTCCAAGCTGGTGTGTGGAGGCGACTGAGAAGACACCAAAAGCTTTCAGTGACAGAGTTTTTCTCATTCTTCCTAATGATCTGACTTGGGAGGTAAAGGTGGTCGTTGTTCACCATATGTTTAAGATAATTTGACAGTTGTTGAATTAGTGACTCTGATCGTATTGATATTTACTTTTACGTGAAAGATCCTGGAGACTCATTATCATGGATAGTCTGACCTTAATTTTAAGAATGTACTTTATGATAAATAATCACTTAGTATTCATTATTGAAAGAAACAACCTCCTGGCTGGGCGTGGTGGCTCACACCTGCAATCCTAGCGCTCTGGGAGGTCAAGGTGGGTGGATTGCTTGAGCTCAGGAGTTTGAGACCAGCCTGAGCAAGAGAGAGACCCCATCTCTAAAGAATACCTGGGTGTTGTGGCACACACCTGTTATCTCAGCTATTTGGGAGACTGAGGGAAGAGAATCCCTTGAGCCCAGGAGTTTGAGGTTTCTGTGAGCTATGACATTACAGCACTCTAACACTCTATTGAGGGTAACAAAGTGAGACTCTGTTTCAAAAAAAAGAGAAACAACTTATTAATATAAATTAAGAAATGTACATAGCAAGAGATCATTGACCAATTATCTACAGGTTGGTATCTATGGTGGAAAATAGTTTAGTCTGTAAGTGCACAGAATACTCAACCAAAAACCTGTAACAAATTCAGGTGCCCATGAATGGTACATATAATGAATGAGTCTC